AAAGAACAGGAAGAAAAAGATGCTATACTCTCAGAAACGGGGTTTGAGGCTCTCCTGTAAATATGCTTGAGTAGCATCATCTGACAGAGAAAAAAAACTGACAAGTAAAGAATATTGTGTTTTTCTTCCAATTCAATTGCTAACCCATCTCTTTATTTGCTTACTCAACCCTAGCAAGTATTTAAATGAAAACACACAAGCGCGCACACACACACACACACTGCATTAATGTCATGATCTCAAGCATCAAAATGTGGGGTTTCCATCCATAAGTACAAAAGCAGAGAATAAGAAGCAAGTACCATGAAGTAGTAGTTAGATATTAAGGTCACCTATGAATTCACTCTGGGGTGGGAGTGAGATTTAGTTAAAGCACCCTGGCTGCCATTTTGAAATGCAAGAATACTAAATACATGAGACACTTCAGCACACCGGAGCATTCTGATTAGAATCCTCCAGCAGACTCGATTAATCGAGTCTGCTCTGATGCGTTCTAATCAGAACGTGTAAACGTGCCTTAAGATTGGGGCCGTAAGTGCTGGAAGGACCTCCGTCTATAATGATTTAATATAGATGTCAAGTTCTTCTCTACTGTGCTGAAGGGTGTCAGGTTCATCTCCTATTTCACATACATCAGAACTTCTTAATTTTTACTAAATGTAATACATTGGAAAAAAAAGTCAACATTGAACAATTAACAATTTTCAGTCTCTGAACGGTTCTCTCAAGTACTTCATTTTAGTTTCTAAAATGCTAAGTATTTTTAAGACATACCCATAACAGGATTTAGTAGACATCTGTTAACACACTTCATGGATTTTTCTTACAAAACATACTGATGTAGTTAAGTCACACAATCCACAAATGCATAAGCAACTCAGGGAACAGAATGTGCAATGTGTAAAAATCATTAAATTGAATGATTTATGTATAAGGTACCAGGAAATATTTAAGTATGGAAACTTCAATATCCATGAAATACAGAGAACTTATATAAATAAGCTTTGTGAAAATAAACTACCTTAACCATATTAAATGTGACTATAAAGCCTAGTTAATATACTTGATTTTTCATTACCAAAATCTATATTGTTGGCTTATTATTAAGAAAACCTTTTGCTAGATCTAACAGTGCATACAAAACTCAGACTAATAAGTCATCACAGTTCCCCTTATTACTTGGATAATCCATCTGATGAAGTAATTAATCAGCAGTTAATTTAAATTAATTCATTAAAAATGTTCCATTAAAATACAGGTACAAACATTAAATTATCTTGCACTTAATAAACTGATATTTTTCCTTAACTGATATAGTAAAAAAGAAAAAAGATTTTTCAATCTGCTTCATAGCTGATATTTTTTAGACTAGTGGGGGCCATTTTTTTGGCAGGTGTGCCACAAATTAACTTCACACCCTCCCCTAGTGTCACACTGATCCCCTTCCTCTGCCGGGGGGGTTGCTGTGCGTTTTGCCCCCAGACCTGTCCCCACTGCCTGATTTACTGTTTTGCTTTCTGCTTCCTGCCCCATCTGCTGCTGTGATGCCCGTCCCCTCCCTGATCTGCCGCATGCTATACACAAAGGCTGCCTGTGCCACTTGTACCCATGTAACAGGTTGACCACCCTTATTGTAAACTATAGGTAATGAAAGGATTAAATAGTAAAATAAGCTATCACTGTTCAATTTAAAAACTCTATGCGCTGAAAGTATTTAATATACCAATATTTTAACACATAAGAATATCCCAAGGAACAAAACCAAATTGGCTGAATTCTGCTATGTATTATATACACTTCATGTACCGTCCCACAAAATATCACTAGTCCTCTTGGTAGTTGTATATAAATTTTGAGCAAGTCTAGACAAAAAATACAAAGTAAACTATTCTAGTATTTTGTGTTTTCAAAACAACATTCCTACAACAAGATCTGAGGGAGTAGAAAATGTGCCTGGGATTTTGTTAAACATATGTTTTCATCTGGAATACAGTCAATAATAAAGTAAAATAAGAACAACCTCCCATATACTTATTTGTGGTTTTTCTCCACATTGCTTCCTGAGCATCGAACATGTTTCCTACGTTAGTCCATGAAGCTATGTCTATACTCATTCAAATTACCCTGAAAGGTCATTTCTGCAGTAATAGCTACTAGAAAGCAGTCAGTTTTTGAGAGCAAAGATGTGGAATATCTATAATACATCTACATGCTGCCATGACAAAAATAAATACTGACTTAAGTATAGTTTGTATTATCGCATCTAACTTCCTTAGTATCTATATTTCATATCCCTTTCTTAAACATGTGCCATGCACTATTAATATGTTAGACTGTGATCTCTTTAGGGAAGTTACTGTGCTGGCCATTATGTTTTGAAGCTCTTAGCACATGATGCATCTGTCAGAAAAAATAATATATAATTCAACTAACATTTTTCATCATAATCTATCAACTAAAGACCAGGTCAAATCACCCAAGGAAAATAGATTTTTCATTGATTATTATTCCAAGAATCACTTAATGAAGTATTCAAAGTACTCAAATACAATGTTTTCACTATGATTTAATGTTAAAAGATACTGCAATATGTTTTTTTCTGAAAGATGCCACATAAAATATTGATCCAAACTTTTCCAATATGACAAGCTTTTAATTATAAAAGTAGCACCATTGAAGCCAATTGGGTTATTTATTTAAGCAAAAACTACTTGCGTGAGTAAAAGCTGAACTCTTAGTCTGTACAGTTGTAGGTAAAACCTCAGGAAATTACATAAAACTAAATGTAGCTCTATTGCAGTTAAATAATCACTTTTGTGTGCAAGTGATTCAAGCTTGATCTACTTTTACCTTATTTTTATCTATTAAGGAAAGTGTAAAATTTACTAATGCAGTTTTAAAACTCCTTAGTAATCCATCTATCTATATAAATATGATTAATGTACAGAAAAAAAAAAGATCAAATGCATTAGAGGCAGCCCCATACACTTCTTCAATATAATAGAACAGGGGTTGTCAGCCGGGGGTACGCATACCCCTGTAGGTACTTGAGAAGGCCCTAGGGAGCATGAGCAGGCGGGAATGGAGCACCACCACGCATAATCCCGTGTTGCTGTGTAGGTGCCACGGGTTGGGGAAGCATGCATGCAGTGGCTGCTGCCGCTCTGTGTCCGTCTGCACTCCACACCCCCATTATTCGGCAGCTGGGGGTATACTGTCCCACATCCGGCCGCTGAGGGGTACAATGATCTTTCAAAACCTTTCAAAAGGTTGAAAACCCCAGTAATAGAACAAATCTCATCAGATTCAATGAAAATCAGTTCATCACATCCATAAAAGCAAGCTTACAAGATTCTGTGTATGTGTCTGGAAACTGCTGTGATACATTACTCATGGTCCTCAAATGCCCATAGTGAGTGAAGTTTGATAATCCTCTCTCACAACTCAAGAAATTAAACTTAAATTACTACCTCACAACTTCTTTCATGCCAGAAACAGTGAATTGTGACTCTTCATACGTCTTGTGTGTAAATTTTGGCCACTGATTCCTTACCTCAGTCCATACCACTTCAGGTCACACATGGCCAGTGCAAAATGCATTCAGCAATAAACAGAGGAGTTGATGGCTCCCTGTCTTTTTGCTCACATCCTGTTACCATACACTGATAGAGCACATCTATACACGAAATTGTTTTGATGCAATAAACGTCAGTGCAGTTTGCGCCGGAATTTGTTTCTCCCATGAGCAATATTTACACGAGTCCAAGACTGCAGCATACAGAGCCAGGGCAGCACAGCCACAACTGGCAGAGTATCTGGAAGGTCATCCTGCCAGGCCATAACTGCTCCTACGAAGCTCAATGGGCTGCAGAGGGGCTGGCTGGGACATGAGAGTGCTACAGTCAGGGACATCCCCGATTGGAGGCAGGGAGCACGGGGGGGGGGCGGCAAATCGGGGCGACCGCCCTGAGCCCTGTGCTTTGGGTGGGCCCACAGAGCCAGGCGCAGCAGCAGCAACACAGAGCTGAGCAGAGCAGTGGCTCCACATCCAGCCCCCACCCCCCATGCCGATTCATTGGATCCGGGGCCCATGGGATTGGATCGAGAGGGGCTCGCATGGGCTGATTTGCCCTGGTCCCCACACCCTGCTCGGGTCAGTTATGGCTACAGTACAGAGCTACCTGCTGGCTAGCACCACACTGTAGCAACCTCATGCCCCAGCCAGCCCCAGTGACCGCACTGTAGCAACCTCATGCCCCAGCCAGCCCCAGTGACCGTCTACACATGCATTGCAACAGAGTAAATAATTCCACCGTAGAATAGCACTTGTGTTGGGCAATAATATCCTATGGTGGAGTTCTTTACTCTGGCCTAATAGCACCACTTGTGTAGATGGTGATGCTGCAGAGCTAACTAGCCTACTCCGCAGTAAGCATCTCATGTAGATGAACCCACAGAAAAGCAACATGTGGTCTATACAATGCACAAGGATGTACACAGATTCTCCACCATCAGGCAGCTATCTAGATGTTGATACTAAAATTGATAACATTTATTACTAATACAAAACATATAATGTATATAACGTAACAAAATGGTGCAGAGATAATCATGTGCTAAAGCACAATGTAAAGTTAGAATACAATGCATAACTAGTCTCCGCAGTCACTAAACTATTAGACAGAGGAAGGGAGGAAATTAAAATACTGATAATCTGGTCTGTATAATACTGATATAATAACGCTATTATTTTATTTAAAAGTGATTAGACAGTACAATGCAATAATGATGCCTTCTCTGCTCTATTTTCCACAGATTTGCCTGTATTTAAACTGAATTTGTATGTTTAATCTGACAGGTAGAATAAAATCAGTGAAACAATGCTAAAAAGGGATAAACACTTTATAAATTTATAGAAAAGGCTGCAGATTATATTTTCCAGTATCATAAATAATCATCCCAACAGATAGAATCAGATTAAGTTAGTATCAAAAGCAAAGATGTCCAAAGTTTAGATGAGTATATTCTATGAAATCAAAAAAGGAAGCACAACAAATCCCTGATTTAGCTTACACAAAAAATGGAATATTAATGAAATGTTTAATCTTACTTTAATCAAACAACTTCCTAATGAAGATACCTAGTCTTAATAGGGTGAAAATAAAAAAGATCTATATTTAAGTCATAATGTTTACATAAAACTCTTACTGGTAGCCTGTAGTCCAGAATAACAATTTCTGTATCATGTTATGGCATGCAGTGGAACACATTCACAGAAAAAGAACTGAATACATATTTTAAAATTGTAAACACATCATTAGAATACATTCAAATACATTTTCATGACAGAAAACATTTTGAAATGCTCACCTTGACTATTCCACGGATGTGCATTTTTGCTATCATCTCTGCAGTATAGAGAAACATCAAGAGTGTATCTAGAGCAAATGTCACATATTGAAGAGGAGGATAATGCTCGAAGGTCTTTGGGGTGTTCATACAAACAGAAATGACGCTGATGATGGCACAGATACGTAATAAAGAGTGAACCCACTGAAAAAAAACAAGGGTTACAATATGGTTTTGATCATCTAAAATAGCACAATTATTTGAAGCCTACAGGTCCTAGTGGCAGTATTTTATGTAAACAAGGTTATTTTTAAAATGGCATGATCCATATTTGTATGGTCACTGTCCAGAGATAGATATTTCTGATTCTATTTTAAAAATAAAATAGAAAATGTAAGGAAATCACTTGGAGGGTCATGTAATCTAATAGACTGAAGATCTAGTGCAGGACTAGGAACTGGAAAATTCTAATTTCTAACTTCACACCTGTTACATCGTAGCCTTGAACAAGCTGTCATATTGAAAATACAAAATTCTAATAAAATGTTTTTACATAATGACACTTCCTGCATTAAAATGTTTTATATTTCTGTGGTGAAAATAAAAGAAGCTACTCTTATAGGACTGTTGGTGGTATTACTTAAGAGTATTTAAAAAACTGATTTGTAAATTTATTACTTAAGTCATCATATGGCCCCAGAAGTAATTTAAAGAGAGTTGTAAACGCTGAAAGATTTCCATCTGCTTATAAAAAGAATGCTTACAGAAAAGGAAGCTTCCCTGTACCAGTTTACCTCAATTTCATTCCAAACAAGCATCTCTACAGTACAAGGAAAGTTCATTTTCTGTAACTGTTTAGATTTTTGCCTCTGCTCATTTTTCTAACAAGGGTGACAAATTGTGCCAAGTATGAGAGTGGGTTTAGTATGCAGTAAAAACTGGTATACAATTGGATATAATGGGTACATTTTCAAGTATTTAAAATACTACTGAAAATATCTGGAAGCCAGATATGTATAATGGTTTAGAACTGAGAGGGTTAAGTGTGTCAATAAAGACCAACAGAATCATGTACTCAAAAACTATGTGCTTACATTCCTTTTTAAACTTAAGATTAATTTCTACGTCCAGCCAATTCCTCACATATCACTGGCACTGAAAAACAGACGTAGAGACAAAATGTATAATCGTGTTCAATTGGACATAAAGTAAGCGGTAGGTCTGTAGTAATTTCCCTAATGACTACAATATTTACAATGACTTTCTTTCATTAATGAACTGGCCTGATTCTGGTTTTATGAAAGAGTCTGTATTCTACTAATAGCATCCTGGGTCTTTTTAGTCACCAGAAAATCTTAGCTTTAACAAAGCATTATGCATCATAAGACATGGTAGATGACCAAAAAAGGATATTCACCATATTGTCATGTAAATATCTCAACATCATACACACTAAGCATATCTTATCCTCTACAATATGACTACATAGCCAATATCTCAAGAAGAAAAATATTTCCAATCACTGTGTATTGAAATTGTGCATCAGTAATGTATTATATTTTATGTTTCTGTAGTGACTCCTTGAGTTTGTTGCAAGAGTTAGTGATGGCATTCTGTTTAAAAGTAGTTAGTATGAGTAGTTAATGCATAAGTGTTTTCTTGTGAATGGATGTAAGCACTGAAACAAAGCTGAATGGCTCTTATATCCCCATGGCAACACAGATGACAGTTTAAGGAATGCCACTGATATGGATTAATTTCAGATAATTTTTTTTCCTTGTACAGATGAGCATTTCTCCTATATTTTGAGAAAAGCATAAAACGGATTCTCAGCAAAAATAAGAGCACTTCAAAACTTGGAGAAATCCTGAGAACTCCCTGGCTTAGTATCATTTTCATGTTAAGAATAACATTATTTCATCAGTTTGGAGTTACTCATTCTTTGGGTCAAATACACTGAAAGACTTTGTGATGTGGATTAAAAGGAACAAGCTAATTACCAGTTTTACAGCAACAAAGAACTAGGAGCTTCAAGAATACTAGCTACCCACTTCAACCGTCTAAGCCTCACTCTCAAGATTTTCTTTCTGACATCATTTTGTCAGTCGGATTTGAAATTTAAATTAAGCAATGTTGGCAACCCATGCTCAAGGAAAGACTATGGAAAAAAAGATTTTTTAACAAATTTGTTGCAGTATATTCACTGATTATACTTTTTACTTCCCAAAAATTGATGGGGGGGAAAAATGAAATAAAATATTTTCAAATATGTACTCACTGATTGGCAACTTCTGCTAGCCAACTACTTGCTGACCTCTGTTTATTCAAAATCATTCTTAAGTTTCCTAAGTTCCTAAGTTTCACAGGAAGAATATGCTTTAATAGTAATGTTTTAATTATAATTGATAATTCTTGAAAGAGAAACATACTGGTTTGTTAATCCACAGGATATCTGCGTTGTCAGACAAAGATTCATCAGGGCCAAAGTCTGTAACTGGCTGGGCTTCTACCCTCGAGCTTTGTTTCCGTTTGAGCATCCTGGAGTTAACTTTGATGAACTATAATGGTGAAACCCCCTTGGAAAAAGAAAAAGGGGCATCAACTTATTAAACAAAACATAAAACATTTTTAAAAGACTTTTGGAAAAGCTTTGTAAACGTATAACAAGTATCATTATGCCAGGTCTCTCTTGTATCCATTGATTAACAGATTGTCTCCCTTATTAAAACACTGTGAAAAACAGCAAAAGTGAATCACATTGGATTAAAAAAGCTTACAAATAAGTATGTGTCTAAAATATTTATAAAAATCTAGCAAAGCAGATAGATTATTATCAGTTGTGCCCTTGTAATGAAAAGGAGAATACTGTCCCATGGATAAACTTAAGCAAAGGTTGTCTGTGTGCACTTGACAGGGCACCAATGAATGTAATGGCACCATTCTTTAGACTGTGTCAGAGTAGGCCCATTCAGAACCCCTCCTCTCAGGGGAGCAGACACACACACATTTCAAAAACTGAAGGGATGTGAAATACCTCAGATGAGTTGGAGCCGAGATGGAATTCCCAGAAGCCTTCTTCAGCCCCACCCCTCCAACCCAACAAATACATAGATGCCCACAGAGCTGGATAAGTCCAGGAGATGAAGAAGTTCCACCATCCCAAGGGATGGCATAGCTTGTACAATGGGGATTCAGGGGAGGAACTGTCTTCCTGGGACAGAACCCCACCTTGCAGGCATAGGCTCATACCTTTTCTTCACTAGCAAGATCATTACTCCACATCCAAATATTACATATGCCTCTATGTATTCCTTCACAGGATCCCACTTCTCAGTGGGCAATTCTACAATGTGTCCCTACAGTGCCCACTCACATAAGCCATGCCTGAAAATATGGAGTGGCTTCAACCACCAGGGACAACCACTGGAGCTGTTCTCACGACTTCTGCTCCAACATGCTTCCATGGAGCCATAGAGACATGCAGATGACTTTCACTGCTGCGTTTCCAGGTTTGATACGAGTGAGAGCAATTGAGTGAGGTCTGCTTGACAGCACTCCTCCCTAGGTGGTGCCATGGACTTGGCATAGACATACCCTATCACATCAAGCATATGCTGCTTGTCTTAATCTTCAAACACCTGTAAAGTGTATACTGACATGACCTGTCAGCAGTCATTCAATATCAAGCAGTCCACCAATGATATCACTCTCCATCATCCACTTCTAAGATTTTTCAAATGAGCACGTCCATGCTTTATCCTATGCTGTCCTGTGTACATATAAAGTTCTCCCTGTCAACTTCCACAAAGCTCTTTCTGTCTTCCCTCATACCTCTGTTCTTCATTTGTTTTCTTCTTTCTGGTCCTTACCTCCTATTTTGATACTGTTTCCTTTACCTCCTTTCTGCTCCTGCCTTCTCCTGCTGACCCACTTCCTAATTTTCCCACTTACTAAGTGTAACATAAACCAAAACACAATAGGGAATCCTCAAAGCCTCATGGTTGTCATGACAGGTTTTGATGTCATGAAGCTTCACACCAATCTGGTGATGACAGCATGCAAGACTGAGAAAAAATTAACTGAAAGGGAAGCACTCTCAGTAGGAAACTTCTGCAGATCCTAAGATCTCTTCAGAAGAAAAAAAAATCCACATTATAAAATATGCTTACCTAATCAGTTCTTTGATCATATTACTTTAAAATAAAAAACAGTAATTATCATGTTAATACTGTTGACCCATTCCAGTCATAATTGAGTTACTGTCTTTGATCAACAGTAAAGAAAATAAATTACAATAGATTAGCAGAGCAAAGTCCATAAAGTTATTATGGGAAATATATTCAGGAACTGTGCATTGACTGGTGAACTACTACTGATGTTGTTTTAGAAATGTTACTGTTAAATAACAAGTTGTGTGTGGTTTGGGGCAGAAGATGAATTAAAGTTCTAGTTTGTCAGTTGGTTATCATACATATTTCTGTATTACCCTTCTTTCAGCAGTACTTCTTTATACGTTTATTGAGTATGAAGATAAGCACACTGCTAATAATGAGATTCTTATCCATCTGCTTGTCCACTACAGCATGCATTCTTTCTAGACTAACTGGAACATATACACGGTCATGAATTGTAGATGCCAACAATGGTTTGGATTCATCAAGCTCATCAAGTAGCAGCCAAATGCCATAGGTAAACAGATCAGGCATAGTGCTTAACAGAATCATAGAAAATTAGACCTCAGGAATTCATCTAGTTCAACCCCCTGCTCAAAGCAGGACCATCACCAACCACATAATTCCAGGCAAGGCTTTGTCTAGGCTGGCCTTAAAAACCTCCAGGGATGGAGATTGCACAATATCTCTGGGTAACCTGCTCTAGTGCTTAACTATTCTCCCAGTGAGAAAGTTTTCCCCAATATCTAACCTAAACTTCCATGGGTGCTACTTGAGACCATTAGTCCTTGTTCTGTTATCTGCCACCACCGAGAACAGTCTAGCTCCATCTTCTTTGGAATCAACCTTCAGGCTATTAAATCCCCCCTCTGTCTTCTCTTCTCCAAACTAAATAAGCCCAGTTCCCTCAGCATATCCTTGTAAGTCATGTGTCCCAGGACCCTAACCATTTTCATTGCCCTAGGCTCGACTCACTCCAATTTGTCCACATCCTTTCAATAGCACTGGCCCAAACTGGACACAGTACTCCAGATACGGCCTCCTACTAATGGAGCCCAGTATGCCATTATAGCCTTCTTCACAACAAGGGCACACTGTTGGCTCATATCCAGCTTGTTGTCCACTGTAATCCCCAGGTCCTTTTCTGCAGAGCTACTGCTTAGCCATTTCGTCTCTAGCTTGCATAAGTGCATGGCTTTGTACATTTGCTTACTGACCCTCATGAAAATCCTTTAGCTCCAGTCCCCCAATCTCTTGAGGTCTCTCCGAATCCTAGCTCTCCAAAATATCCACTACTATCTATAGCTTGGTGTCATCTGCAAACTTGCTAAAGGTACACTCCATCCCATCTTCCTGGTTGTTGATGAAGAACAAAACTGGCCCCAAGACCAATGCCTGGGGAACTCCATTAGATACTGTCAACTAGACAATGAGCCCTACGATCCAACTGCTTTTCTATCCTCCTTACAGTCCATTCTTGCTTCCTCTTACTTCTAAACTAGGGCAAATTAATAAGCAAAGCAGAGAGTAGAAAGAAAAGAACTATATATAAAATAGAAGGATAAATTTGCTTATTTTACAGATGTGAAATGAACAGGATATCTTTTTTTTAGGAAAGCCCAGTAAGCTAAGATCACAAAGCCAAGACAACCCTAAAATGAGTTTTAGAATGACTTAATGAGATTTTTTGCAACCCCCTTAGTCTATGAACTTCTGTTTTCTTGTTGGTTTTTAAACAAGGAAAAAATGAAGCAAATGTCATACTCTGCTGAATGTGAAGAAATTATACTAAGTGTAACCCCTGAACACAATCTTTCTGAAATTCTGATCCCAATTCTAACCATGTCCTTTCCTTACTCACAAACTAAAATGAACACAGAATATTTCTAACTCTGAAGCTTTTAAAAAAAATGGGGTATACCTACACTCTGGATGAAAAACTGGCATTGATAAGGAGAACGTTGCTGTCTCTGGCTATGCTCATTTCATATTTATTTTGGTTCTGCTAGGGGGGTTTTCTTTAGAACAATATCAGCCATAAAAATTCATAGTACTTGTGTAGGTTGCTGCTTTCCTGTGTAGCAATGTGTTGTTTTAGCTTTTGATTTTAAATATCTCCTTTTGTTTTATTTTTAGATGCAAATACAAGCCAAAGGAAAAAACAAGAGAACAAGTTAAAAAAAATGTTCAGGCAAGAAGCCCACTGGATGCATTAGGTCAGTCTGTTCTCTTTTTCTATAAGAGCCAGCAGGTATGTTCAAAGAAAATTAAAATCACAGCAAGACAATTCCAAAACCACATCTGAACAGAACTTCAGGAAAATAGGCTGATTTACCACCATTAAAACAGATCTGTAGTATCCACTGAAATGAAACAGAGTAACACTAGTATAATAAATGGTGTAACAAAGAAGTCAGTTAGACCCCAAGTGCCCAAAGAGGATAATGAAAAGAAGGCACAATTCCAGTTTGTGCCATCTGCTACTGACCTTAAGACTTCTTGTCTGATGGAAGTCTTCACTATCCAAAAAGAGAGAAGAATAAATGAAAAGCAAGTGATTGATCCAATGTAAGGTACAGTCTGGGAAACCCATGGTTTGTCTCATACAGGGTCTGTTGTTAGTTTGCAGTAAATAAGATTATTGCATTACAGCAATTTCTGCAACAAAACATACACAAGCTCCTAGGGAATACACTAATAAAGAATGAAGTCACAAATGATTATTGATAACTAGAAGGATTTCTCTTTTTTACTTAACTTGGTGTGATTTACATTGAAAGAGAAAAATCAGGCAAAAGACTCCATAAAATTATAGGAGTTTATAAATCCTGAAATTTTATTTTAAAAAATTGTCATAAGAAAAATTAATAAACCCCCATAGGAGGAAAATGAAGACAATACCCAAAAGATGGCACTTCACCTTCCACTGGGATTAATACCAGTAGTTCTAAAGATTACTGACACTAGTTCCCTGTACTCTGTTAACCCTGTAAACAGGAAAAGAGGAACAAAAGACTCAAGTTACCAGTGGGAGGAACATGCCATGGGTGGATGAGGGTATGAGCTCACAACTAGGTTCAAACAGAAAATGTTTTCTTTAGATACCTTTATGGAAACTGTTTTTCCATCCAAAACAAAACTTTAAACAAAACAGTCTCTTCTTTCCTCCTCTCTTTTTCAACATAATCAGTAAAACGAGAGAGGTCATTAGCCATATTAGTCTGAAGTCAGGCAGAAGGCATGACAGAGGTGTACCTTAGAGACTAACTAAATCAGAGATGCATAATCTGTCATCAGAGCCGACTCGAGCAGGGTACAGGGCCCAAGGCAAATCAACTCGTATGGGGCCCTGACCCCGCACACCTTGGATGTGAAGCAGCCACCATTGGCAGGGGGCGGTAGTGAGTGACTGGACACAACCCAGCCACTCCTCCCAGCTCTGTGGAGCCCCCCAGCATGCGGGGCCCAGGGCAGTAGCCCTGATTTGCCCCCACTCCCTCCCCACCCAGGGACGGGCCTGTCTGTCATGATGCTGAAAGCATCTGATGAACTGAGATTGGCCCTTATGAATCTCTGATTTAGTTAATAAAGAAAGTATATCTCGACTCTGCCTTCAATCAGTAAACTGCAGTTTTTAAATGCAATCAGCTGTTTAGTTTTTGTTCTGAAGTCATTCAAGGTTCCTTCTCCTAATAATTTTTTTTTCCATTTCCTTTTTCTACATAAGGGAAATAGTCCAAAGGAAAGCTCATAAAACCTACCACAATTAGATTCTCATTTGGTCACCAGTTATACAAAACAGTTGGGCAAGCACTGAGCCTGGCAGCAAACGCTAAGACTTGTAAGCCAAATAACAAGAATCAGATTGCAATTTTCAGATTTAGGGAGGTTCCTATTGCTTTAATATTGTCATCATTTTTCAAAGTTGCATAAGAACCGAAAAGGTCTCCTGGGTCTTGCTAGGTCAATGGCTTTGGTTCGTATACGTGCATCATTCACGTCCTAAACATACTATTCCTCTTGGGAGAAGTCAGATGTAGCTAGTAGCCAGGATTAAACATAAATGTGACTACAACGGATCAGCCTAGAGAATTATTGCTTACAGAAACTTATCAACAATGCCTTATGACCTCACTTCCCACTTTTTTTACTATATGTCTTGAAATATACAACAGAGATTATTTCAAAATACTATAACATATATTATAAAATATAATATATATACTTAGAGCATACATCCACATTATGTGCTCTGGTGTCATTGTTTGGATTTTAAACACAATTAGTTTTGGTTTGGTTTAGTCTTCCACCACACTTCCATAATTTTTTTCTTTGAGATAGTGAAAATGGTGATACAGCCTTCCAAAACTGGCTGCCAAAAAATAATATCTACTGAACTTGATTTTTGGGTTCTAAATATCATTTTGGTTCACATACCTTCTATCCTCTGTACACAGGGAAAACTGAGATAGGTTTAGGTTTTGCTCCATGGTAATTTATGGTAAATGCTGAGAAGTGACCGCCCTGTGAGGGTGGGCATCCCATATGGTAATAAAGTGTATCTATGGCTATATAATATAGGCTTAATGGTTAGATTGTGGCAAAGGGGGGAGTTGCATTCTTTTCAAAAGCAGACTTTGCCACCATTTGTTGCCTCAAGATGCAATGGTGATATGCTCTACATAGGGTTACACCTTAAAACCATCTCGAGACCAAAACTGGCCCAGAATGCAGTGACTTAATTATTTCTCTAAGAGCATCTGAATGCCAGTGGTTTTGCACCTGTCTTGGAAACTTCCTAGTCTCTGGGTTACATTTAGTGCTTGCTGTAAAGCTGAAAATATCCAACGATCTCTCTCTCTTTCTACAACCTCAGTTGTGATTACCAAAGATGCTCAAGCTGGATACCCCTTTAAAAAAAATAGAGGAAGTGAAGTCTCTACATCTTACTCCCTCCTTTTACCCAAAATACCCTGAATTTGGTAAATTTCTGAGAATGCTGCTAAAGATAATATATTGTGCAGGGTTTATGAAGAGGGCAGGTGTGCTTCCTTGAACACAAAGGGGCGGAAAGAAGTTTTTTGTAGGTAGAGTGTCCATTTCAATGATTATTTTAATGCTGTTTTGGGTATGTTGTACTGCTAACTGTGTGTCAGGGTGCTGAAAAGTCTTGCATACACACGCGTTGATTATTCAAATGGAAATTTTTTTTTTTAAAAAGCAAAGGGTGACATTTTCTTTTATCATTGTTATATTTTTGCTACACAGCATTCAATTGTTTTACACCATTTTCCGATTCCAAATTCTTAACCAACCATCATTTCAAGATCTCCCAACCTTAACCGCTGAAATCTTGGGGGCTGGACCCTGCAAACGCCATATGCCCTGGGAGGCTGGGGGGACACAGGGACTACCCGCAGGCGCTGTGGTGCTGTCCGCAGCAGGGGCATGGCGGCAGTGAGCAGGGAGCTCACGCAGGCAGCCCTGGCAGTGTCAGTGGCAGGCGGGGAAAGGGTGGCGAGCACCACACAGTGGTCAGTGACCACCTGCAGATGCCATCAGCGGTGTTG